CGCTTCTAGGTTAGAGGCCATTGCAATTTAGGTTGGAGGCCATCGCAATTAATTTCGAGACCGTTGGTTCTAGGTTGGAGGCCATCGCTCCTAGGTTGAAGGCCATGTTTCCTCTGACTTTGTCAACGACTTTGTCTTCTCCGTCGCACCTCTGAGCCAATCTCGTCCTCAAGCACCTGCACTCGCAAACTGGGAGCACATGAGATTATAAAAGCGACATGCATTTTGGCGCCTTTAGAAAGCTCAAAACATCATGTCTTGTACTATACAGCACTCTAACGGGCTTTGAAATCCCATCTTTTGAGTGCTGGGCCTCTTCCTTCTTGGTCGCCTCAGCCTCTGCCACCCACTGTCGGAGGGCCTGTCCCAAGTCCTGGGCCTCCCTTCGCAGCACCTGTGCTGCCTGCCACTTAGCAGCACGAAAGACATGCAAAGGGCAAGAGTTCTAAAGCTTAGAGTAGCAAGGACATACTTTACGCACCTCCAGTATTTCGGATCTGTCAGCGATTTTGGTGCTTGTGTCCTGTTCGCTGCATACTTCCCATCCCAACAACATTGGCTCTGAAAGAGGACACCACCGAAACAGTCCTCCGAAAGAACGCACTTGGGAGTGGAGCCCGCAGAGGTCTCTGGACTTGGCACTGTGAATCCATGTTTCTCGAACTTTCCAACTGTTCGAGTAAAATCTCTGTCTTTTTCAGATCTTCCTTCAGATCTCTCCAATCTCTCCTTCACATCCTGTGCATCCTTTGGATCTGTGCTTTGCTCTTTGCTCTCTTTGCTTTGGTTTCTTTGGCTTCCAGGCGGCCGCCGGCTGGGCGACACCTTGGCTTTCTCGGACACTTCAGACCTTTGGGCGACACCTTGCATCACCTCCTTCGATCTCGTGGGGCGCCTCTCCATCGCCTCCTTCGCCCGGCGGGCAGCAGCGGCCAAGGGCGACTCTCGACGGCGCGGTCGCACGGTTGGGACGACCGCAGTCGGCTTTCCCTTGGCCGCGGTGCGGGTGTTGGCACCGGCACCACTGGCCATTGACAAAGAGAGAAGCCTGGAAGACTGCTGGCTCGGCGGAACGATCATGGCTGAATGATGTGGCGGCCTCTAGTCCTTTACTGCGCTTCAGTCTCTTCATTCGATGTTCTTTCGGTGCTTTTTTCTGTGCTTTGGCAAGCTTGGGAAGGATGAGTTGGCAGTGTGCAACTTGGAAGGTCTTTGTGGTTTGTCGCAAGGTGTCAATGATCTGTGTTCCAATTTTGGGTGTGTATCCGGCTCAAGCTCCCGGTTCTTTTTGTGTCAACTATGTAGCGATATCTCTCCAAACATATTAACTAAGTTATACTTCTATATATAGGCTTGATGTTTCTTCATGTGAGCAAAGGCGGGTTGGCGACATGGCAGCAATCCCCTGCTTGCTGTTTTTTTTTCGGGCATGCAACGTTTTGCCACATGTGCAGCGCCAAAACTGGACCAGGCTATGACACCGCTGATTGGTTTTCAAGTACTCAACATTTGCAGCGTTGATTCTCAGTTTGCTAAGAAATCAAAAATATCAGGCTAGTGTGCTACCATACCGTGCCATAGTCTGTATTCACAACAAAGACAGCAACCTGCTGTACCCAATCAAGCCTTTGCCAACTCGTCTTTCAGCTGGGCCTCCTCCCTCTGCAACTTTGAAGCAAGGTCCTGACCAACGAACTGGATGAAAAGAGCTGAAGCAGCAAATGACCAAGGTTATCCAAGGTTGCCATGGTTGTCGTCTACTGGCCACACGATGCTGCTCGTCCCTCTTCCAAATGTTGCTTTTGAACGTTGCTAATCTCTTAGACCTCAAAAGTTGAAAGAATGGATGGCAGACCTGCACAAAAGTATAGTGTCCAATATGCAATACATCAATGGCCTGAACAACCTCTCCGGTTCTCCCATCTTTCCACATCGTATTGTCTTGTCTATCCGCGGCTCCTTCTTTTCAGCCTCCAATTTCAAGACTCTGGCTGACACTTCACTCTGAGATCTTCGTGCAGCATCTGCCTTCCACAGATGGACACAAAGGAATGTGTTGGATAACTCAAGATACTCAATGATCGTACTCGAACAGTAGAACATGCTTTGACAACTTCAGCATCTGTATGTGTGAAAGCTCTGGGCAGGAGGACCAACTTCAGTCATCAATTAGAGATGTTACTTTAAAGACTTTGGCTGTGAGGCTGTGAAGGTAAGCTTATGCCTCCTGAATTGAAGACGGGCCGCAGCGTTAAACGTCTTTTTTGCATCTGCTGGAACTTCAGGCGAAGGTGAGCAACAGGCTCTGAGAACAGTGCATCTTGTGTAGCAACTTTGCCTCCTGTTTCCTAGTCCACGAAAGCTCCTTCACCAAAAGCCAAGGAAAATCAGCTCCAGGGCAGCCATGCGTCTCTAGGGCGCCAAGTCCCAATTGAACTCAGCAAAGAGACACGGCAGCTAGCTCTACAACAGGCCCCGGATACCACCAGCGGACGGGTAAATAAAAGCAAGACAAAGCCCAGAATCTGTCAGGTTTCCAGCAATTTGGAATGGAGACGTCTGAATAAGGTGCAAAAGGTGCAAACCGCAACTGTCGAATTCAAAGCTTGGCTTCAGTCTTGACTTGGGGGTGCCTGTGCCGAGCAGCCTCACAAGAGCAAGAAAGAGGGAAAGTTGGATTCCCATTCAACTCGCTATGTGTGAAATAGCAAGAAGCTACTAGGAGCAAGGGCATCGCTACTAGGAGCTCCTGGCATCGCTACTAGGAGCATCCAACAAAGCCCTCTCAAGCTGAGCCAAAGACCATTGCATGGCCCATCCCGGACATTCCTTCGCTAGGATATTCGGCGCCTGACCGGATACATGGTGTCACCCCTCAAGCTTTTGTAATTGGACACAACCACCTGAGGAACAGCAAGTCATGGCAGCAGTGATGGTTTTAGGATTTGGGAGGAAAGCTTTCCACAGACTGTACTGCACAAATCCCCAATGAGCCTTCACTGAAGTCACAAATGTCCTTGAAGCGTGAGGCGATATCCTGAACGCCAGGAAAAATCAGTATCCTGCTGAGCTTGATTCATAAGCTTTGACAAACTTAAATACAATCATCGAGCGTTCCAAGAAGCTTTTTACGCACGCATGAAAATGACGTGATTCAAGGAACAGCCTCCAGATTGAAAGTGTCATTGAACTGGACTCCCCTGGATCTTTGCCATCGCACCTCTGCAGGTGGAAGAAAGTATGCCCGAAATCAGCATCAGACTCAAACAATTGCAAGAAGCACACTACACTGCTACACAGAACATGGCACGGGCCACAACTACCAATCTGACTGTGCACTCCAGATCCGGTCAAAGAAGTTTGTAGCTGTTGTGCAATAGGATATTGTCTGTATTGCTATAGTTATATGGACAATCGAATGGTGCATGGTCTATATGTATATATTATAGTATATAGTGTGTATGTATATATATATATATGCAAATCATAAGCGGCATTGTGCTGCAACCCACTCGACTGTATGTTTTTCTTCCACGGCCTTAGAGATCCAGTTGCCTCCGAGCTCGAAGAGGCCACCCGATTCAGGGCATGACTCGTGGCACCTTGGGGCCGGCGGCTCCCGTTTCCGATGTCATTCGAAGAATAGAACGCATGTGTGAGAACTTACTTGTGATGTATTATATATATATATACAGCAATACTCTGAAAGCATCGGATCTTAATACATCTTAATACTAGTTTCAGATTTCCAAACGCGTGCTTGTTTCTTTTTGCCTCTGTGCGAAGTCTTCTGTGCCCCCAGCAAAAATGCGACAAACTTGGCAACAGGCGCTGGAGGCAGTGCCTCAGAGATGACGCTTAAGGGACCCAAACCATGTTCACATTGGCAGGCTGGACACATACAGTATTGAGCGAGCCTCAAGCATTTCTGAAGACATCACCGTCTTCCTCAAAGTCTTCTGACTTATGACAAGCAAATCTTGTGCATGCGTGGCATCGACAGAGTTTTGAGCACCCACATCAGGCAAAGTGTCGACATCCGCGAAGCTGCGTAAGGAGCAACGACGTTGGCCTTGATCTGTTTCTTGGCACCTGAGGATGAACGGAAGGACACAATCCACATCGTGATTGCGTGATTTGGGGATGGAAACCAAGACAGTCCGGCAACAGAAAGCCGGGATGCCTTCCAATGCCAGCGTCAGGGTGAATCCGACCAGTGCCCTCAGGCTCGCGCGACCGGGTCAGATTCTGAGTCAAATGGCTCATGGATCAGCCCCAAGTGGCCCCAAGCTGCACCCTAAACCCTCCAACCCTTGCAGGCTCGGACCTCTTCATAGCCACATAGTTCGCTTGGCCTCAGGTCACGGAGCAAACAACTTCATCCTTAATCCTTGAGAAACAGCCGCCTTCAAACCTTGTGCAAGGCCGCAGCCGAAGTTGCCGTAGAGACCAACCGGACTGGTGATATTAACAATGCGGCCGTACGAGTTGGTCTCCTGCATGCTCAAGAGAAGAGAACTAGGATGTGGGTACAAGTCAAAAGCACCGTGACGCTTCACACAGAAAAAAAAACTGGGCGCTCCATATGAGGCCAAGCTGCCCGGGTCACCTTGAAAGCACCTTTGAGGTGAACCTGCATCAACCAACACAAACACATTCAACTTCCATGACTTGCATGATATAATTCTGTTCACTACATTGAGGTCTTGGAATTGGCTGAACTCGCAAGTGCACCGCCGCTTGTGTTCCAAACTTGCATGTTGCAAGGAACTGCTCTATCCTGACAGCAGACCTGGTATTGAATTGCTGCTCCTGTCTCCGAATACACCCCGTTGCATCCGTTGCCTGGTACACCATTTCCCAGTCCTCACACACCATCAGGATGCAACCCAACACCGGAGACCTTTCCCTCACATCTCGAACCGCTCAGAGATTCCGTCCTTTTCAGACATTCTTTTGAAGGAGACATCGCGAAGAATGCCAGCATTGTTGATGACAATGTCAACATTGCCATACCTTCGATGTCCAATCTTGTCAAAACAAAATCCGTCAGACTCCTGTGCAAAGACTCGCTCCCGCCATCAAGATGCAAGTTTACACAAATTGGACCAATATACTGTACTATATACGTAAATAGTAATAGTATCATGTCATTGTTATATTAGGGAGTGTTTGGAGCAAAAAGCTAAAATTGTTGCACACTCTACTCTCGGTGCATAGAAATGCGCATTGCCGTCATTGTGTCATATTGTGGTTGTCATAGTGCCTAGTCATCGATAATGCCATTGTGGCCCCTGATTGATGTTGTCATTGTGCTGGCTCTTTGTGAGCATTGGCGGGCTGCCGCCCGTCATCTTCCTAAGTTTGCCATTGCCGCTATGGCTTGTCTTTGCTGGTATCATTGTGGCTCGTGTTCGACGTTGTCTTTACCTAAGTTTAGCCACTCGCACAACCGTGAGGGATTCCTGTTGGGCGAGGCGACTGGAAGGACAGAGAGTTGAGTCGCTTGGTTTGGACCCCTGCCTGGGCACTGGGTGGAAATTAACGAAGAGATGAAAACACCTTGCTCAAAATCTAGCCGCCCTAATCTCATCGGCTTGGGAAAACGCAAAGGAACAGTCCATGGAATGGAAACACAGCACAAGAACACAAAATCACGAGATGCAAGAACGGAACAGGCTAGATTGTTGTCTTCGTTGTCGTCGTCACTCTTTTTCTTGTCCTTCTTCTTGTAGTTGTTGTTGTCCATGTTATCTTCTTGTTGTGGTGCTGCTGTCATCCTAGCTTCAGTTGTCCAATGATTGGGCCAACCGAAACCGGTCCACCGTCATGCGAAATTGTCTTCGGCAAAATCTTCATCCCCTGCCAAACCGACAGCGCAGGAATCGGCTGGAGAGTAGTTAGTTTGGGTCTGCAGTAGAGCCTTCAGTGTTTGCTAATGTAAAAGGGCGTTCAAACAGGTTTGCTCCAAAGCGCGCGTCGATGGCCGTCTGTACAATCTTCTCTCCCTCCACAACGGAATCGTAGTTTGCAACTGCCTTCACGCATCAAAACCCAGATAAGACTGGAGTTGGAACTTGGAATAACCCAATCTCGATAAGCTCTTGCCAGCCTCGCCCCCGGACTCTTTGATAATGCTCACCACTGCATCCTCTGAATCATGCAAAAATGGCTGAACCAAGCTCCTCGCGTAGCTACGTGCATGCATGTGTGAGTTTCCATGCATCCGTGCAATGATGAAGTCGTGGAAGCAACTTGAACTGGTTTGGCTGCAGTTGCGCTCTGAGGCATCCACGGCGGCAGAGTTTGAGGCACCGCTGCCTGTGGTATTTGTGCCAAGGTCATTCACCACAACCTGGCACATCAGCTGGAAAAATCTCACGGAGAGAGCTGTCGATTCAGTGTGAATAATAACTTTTTTACCTCAATGCTCACGGAACAGAAATAAAAATGGTGTCAACCACGATATATTCTAAGCGTGTTGGTCCAACATCAGCTTGGATACTCCTAACATGCGCTAACGTTGTGAGCTGCTCACCTAAAGTTTGCAAACGCCGACGCTGGAGCGACACAAACAAACATAGTGACATCTATGGGACACAATGATGACCAAACGTCTTACTAAGTCCTACTTAACAAGTGTTTGATGGGCTCTGCTAATGCGTCGCCCAATGCTTGTCCAAATGTTCCTTTGGTTTAGCAAACTGTCTTTTTGGAGCCTTGGCACCAAGCGACGCCAAATACAAGGCATACTCCTTTGGAATTGCAGCGTTGACCCAGCAAGTGTTCAATCTGAAAAAGAACGGCAAAATTGTTGTTTGCAAATACTGTTCGATATTTGCTCGATGATGTTCATATATGTCATGTCTGCTTTAGTCGTCACACATGCTAGACTGCTAGACTCTCTCAATCCCACCTTGCCCAAACCATTGCCAGCACCTGTCACAATGGCCACCTGACAACTGAACCAACTGAATTTGGTTCTAAATCCTTTTTTTTCACAGGTTGTGGAAACTAAGAGTCCAGGG